CGTCTTCACGACATGGCGGCAGCAGCAACAATACTACAGCGAGAATCAAAGTTACGCCTTCTTTCTTTGCGTGAACATTTGAGCGGCATTATGCAAATCTTCCCACATCGTGACGTAGATATGTGGAGGCGTGTTAGAACGAGGCGTTTTAGGTAGCATTTATTACAGTATTGAAACTATTCTGCCTTATTATGTGATAAAAAAGTGTTTGTAGTATATAAACAAATCATTATTATTGGTTATTGTCCAGCAGTTATCTGATTTAGAAGTCAATTAAAAGCTAGAAATTATAGAAAAATTTAAGTTGCCTATACACTATGGGTCAAAAGTTTTTGAACAGTAAGATTTTTTATGTTTTTTTAAAGAAGTCTCTTCTGTTCACCAAGCCTGCATTTATTTGATCCAAAGTACAGCAAAACAGTACAATCTTGAAATATTTTTACTAGGCTATTTCAAATAACTGTTTTCTATTTGAATATACTTTAAAATGTAATTTATAGTGATGTCAAAGCTAAATTGTTTGCATCATTACTCCAGTCACACTATCCTTCCAAAATCATTCTGATATTCTGATTTGCTGCTCAAAAAACATTAATAATAATAATAATAATAATTAAAAAAGGTTTCTTGAGCAGCACATCAGCATATTATAATGATTTCTGAAGGATGTGACACTGAAGACTGGAGTAATGATGCTGAAAATTCAGCTTTGATCACAGAAATCATTTAAAAATATATTCAAATAGAAAGCAGTTATTTTAAATAGTAAAAATATTTCACAATATTACTGCTTTTGCTGTACTATGGATCAAATAAATGCTGGTTTGGTGAGCAGAAGAGACTTCTTTATAAAACATAAAAAATCTTACTGGTAGGTTATATAGATTACAGAAATGTTATATTATATATAAATATATATATATATATATATATATATATATATATATTTTTTTTTATATATATAACATATCTGTCCCCCTCACTTCTGAAATGATGGCTACGCCCCTGGATTTGAGACTTTAGTCTTTGCAACTTTACAGATCTTCTTTATGCAGCAAGAGCTTGTAACACTCCAAAGAGAAAGGAAAAATTGAAATCGCATCATATGACCCGTTTAACATGTAAAGCCATGTAGATCATTAGTTCTGTGCACTTGCTAATTATAACAGTACAATCTGCTCTACACTTCTAGGTCAATTACGCTTAGATGTGCATCAAGCCAAGCAACTGATGAACAGAAATGGCAGTTTTACTTCATTCGGGTCACATGGCATATCTGCAGGATCTTACAGTATATTAGCACAAGTGCTTTCACATACAGAGGTAATGTAACGCCCTTCGGTCTTTTACTGTCGAGGGCAATACAGCTGACTGATGTTCTGTTGGTAATTGGAAGAAGAGATTCATCTGTAGCCATGGCATGTAGGAACAATTTACAGAGCGGAAAATTACAGCCCAGTCTGTCGATTTTGAGTAGTTTGCATAAATTCATTGGTTTTTATAGTCATATAGATGCATGATACATATGATGTGAACCCTCAAATGAGTCTCGCTTGATGTTGAGTACATGCATATGAAGAAAACATGATTTAGGTCACCTTTACTGAGCAGTGGAGTGTGTAATGAACGCTAATGTAGAGACCTTTATATGAAGAATGAATCTTGGGATTACACATTACACTGTTTTTCCATTCACACAATTTACATTACATTTATAAATGATAACAAATGATCAAATTAAATTTTATAATATTAATAATGACAATGTCTGCAAGTAGGGACAGATTGTTTATCTCATGGGCGAGAAACTTCCGGTAAACATTTGCAATTTGCCCAAAATTACCTTTACAAATGTAATAAAATGAAAAATGTATTGTTCTCATGAGCCAGATGGATGTCAATGCCTACTGCACCCAATTTTTTTATAATTTAATTTTCAAACAGTAGGGATGCAATTATTTTAAAAATTGTGGCTCATACCGATAAGCTGATAATTATGTTCATGTTATGGCCAAGAACCGATAAATGATTTATAAAATTCTAATATATAAAATTCTACTAATATATATATAAAATTCTACTATTTTAATGAAAAATAAATAATTAAATTTAACTAAAATAATTAAAATATAAATTTTTTAAATTTTTATTTTATATTAATATTTTTACCTACAAATTTCTACTCAATAAAATATTTCAGAGCTTGACAAAATAAATATATAAATTAGATTAATTATAAAAAAATTTACGATTTTAATTTCCATGACTTTTCAATGTCTAGACATCACACATTTAAAATAAATAAATAAATCAATAAATCAATAAAAGTTTGTCCAAGATCATGTGAACATTGGTTCTTAAATAAAATTGGTCATTGTTAAGGGATAATAACTTAATTAAGGAATTAATTAAGAAACTTAATTCCATTTTATTTTAAATCTTGATTTTTAGTTGTTTTAACATTTTAAACCTTGTTTTGTCCAATTTTAAATAATAAGGTAATAAGAATATAATTAGAAATTTAAGCAATCTTGCAGTCTTTGTTTGAGAACAAAGTTTTAAATGAACATTAGATGACAGCAATGGAAATCTAAATGTAAACAGGCTTAAATGAGCTTGCACAATTAAATGTTAGCTCATATACATCAATAACGGCTACTGATAAATAAATAAAAAAAATCATCATGCTTCCTTAAAAAATAGTCAAGCTTTGGACATGCATCAGTGAATAAAAAACAAAAAACAAAACATTAATAGAGTGTGTATTTTATTACAGAAGTCCCTGGCTGACCGAATTTAGAGTTTTAGAGTCAAGAACAACTAATGTCCGTGACCGAGACGATAGTGACTGTTATGTCATGATGTTTTCCCTATTGAGAGAAAGCGATTTTATCGGCTATCGCAACAAGAGCAACTCCTTCCTTTGAACGAATCGAGCTCTGCAGCTGTAAATCCTGCTGTTAGCTGCAGCCGGAGCCCTGTGATGTTTTCCTGAAAGCTCCTATACCTCTTGCTGGTGGCGTGATTTACGCACGCCTCCCTACCATGGCCGTTTCGCAAAAGTGGGTTTTCCAATCACCTGCCCTTAACTGCAGGGGGCGTAACCCCCGGAAACTCAGGGAAGGAGACGGATGAGACAAATCTACATCCAGAACACACATGCATGATGGATTCCCAGCGTACATGAATGCAGGGATACATCACTGCAGACTGCTGAGCTCTACTGAGAGATTTATCAGAGACGTGGACAACAAACTCCATCTACAGTGAGAGCCGGAGGCAGAAACTCATACACACATCTGCTCAGATGGGCTGAAGTTACAGTCTATCCAGGCAACTACGTCAAGTTACCACAAAATTTGAATAAACGTAAATGTAAACCATAAAAAAAGAAAGAAAATAGATCCCTCATCAATTCAATTCAGCTGAAGAAAGCTCAAAGCGACTCAAAATTTGAGATCAACCGATAATCGGTTTAACCAATATTTTTACAGATATTATTACTAATGATTACATTTATGCAAAGGTGACAGGCTCCCTTGACATTTTACATGTATGCATTTAGCAGACACTTTTATCCAAAGCGGAAGGTAAACTTTAACATTAGACTTTGTCAATTTATTTAGCCTATTGTTAATATTATTGTTGCTGCTGCAGTTGTTGTTATAAAAATGCTGTGTTTTTATTGTGATATGAAGATGAAATGAAACAAAAATTACATTCAGTCTGTCTGGTCATACTATATGAAATAATCTGATCGGTTGTGCTGAAGTTACACTCAACTATATCAATTTACCACAAAAATAAAATGTGTTAAACCATAAAAACAACTCAAAAACATCCCTAGTCAATTTAATTCAGCCCTCGTTTTTACTACAACTAATAAGAAGAAGAAAATTATTGTGGGAATATGTAAATTCTAGAGTAGTACCATTTTAAGTACCATATTTGCATTACATATATGTTTACTTTTTATATAATGTTTGAATAAATCTTCAAATTCTGTCAAATTGGATCAATTATGACAGCAAACAATTCAATTACATATTGGCAATAGTTTGGTGTAAAAATACAATAACTATATGATTAGAAAGCTGAAGGAAGCTCAAAGTGACTCAGAATTAGAAATCTACAGATATTTGGTTTTACCGATATTTTACCAATATTTTCAACTAATTATTACATTTATGCAAAGTTGATAGTCTCCCTTGACATTTTACATTTATGCATTTAGCAGATGCTTTTATCCAAAGTGAAAGAAACTACAAAAACTTATTTATATATTTTATTTATTTCACATTTATTCATGTTCTCCATTTAAAAAGATTAGACTTTGTCCAATTATTTTGCCATTTGTATTAGTGTTGCTGCTGCTTCAGTTGTTTTTATAAAAAAAAATGCTGTTTTTATTGTTGTGATATGAAGATGAAATTAAACAAAAACAAGGCAAACAGTAAATACATATCAGTTCTACATATCGGTTATTAAACATACAAATAATCGGCATCGGTACTGGTTCCCAAAATAAATATCGGTCAATCTATTAAAAATGATGGAGAATGTCATATTTTACAAATGTATTCTTCTTATATGCTCCCATCTATCAAACAAATATGTCCATATTGAGCATCTCAGTGCTCAATGAAACATCAAGTCGACTCATCTGATGTGTATATGTAGCACGTGTGTCTACATCTGACACGGATCTATAAACACAGATGGATGGTCTCAGAAAACACAGAGCATCTGTCTTCCTCTTTGACTAATTCTGACTGAAAATCAATGTCCATTAGGCTGACTCACGACTCTGAGTGTTGCCTTTATTTTATTTTCGACTCTAATATGATGCCCTCAGGTTTCAAAACTCGGCCCGTTTCAGATAAACCACACATACGTGATCTCGCTGTAACTCTTATGATTAAACATGAACTCCTGTTCCAACTAATTATATTAAACAAGTCAATACTTAAGCGAGAAGCACAGATGAGACTGAATCTTACCTCAGCTCCCGTCAGGTAGTAAGCAGAGAGAAGACCGCCAACGTAACGGATGTTCACCTCAAACAGGGACGCCTCTCCATTCTGCAGAAAAACAAAAACCATTAAGAACCTCATGTTTGTGCCTTAGCAACATTACAAATGACATTAACAAATAAAGATAACATGCCGTATTGTGATATAGCAAGGTCACAGCCATACTACAAAGCTGTTTTTATCCTAAATAAGTGTTGGAAACCTTTGGTATTTCATATTAGAGGAGAAAAAAAATCAACCCCCCCCCCCCCTTTTAGATAAAGCAGTTCATTGTACTATATTTAGGCCTAAATTAAAGATTTATGTATGTGAACATCATAAACGTAATGTGATGCATATTTGTCAGTCATATGTAAATGAAAAATTTAAGATTTCTGTAATAAACAAAGTGTTTTAAATACACAATAACCAGGTTTATATATGTATCATCAATAAATCCAATTTGTTTCAATCTCAAACATTTTAACTAATTGAATAATGCTTGTTCCACAGCTAGACATATTTTAACCATGTTCATATGAATGAACAGATTCTAAGCCATTTGAATAAATGCATTTTGAATATATGGTTATTTAAATAAAATCCAATAAATGCAAATAGTTCATATTTGCATTCATACCTGTTGCATTTATGCATGACTGACAAATATGCATCACAAACGGATGGTAATTTTATATGCAATTCAAACATAAATCCTAAATTTATGGCTCAATATTTTTTTTTTTTTGAGTATATGAAACTTAAAAAAAAATGTTAAAGGTCAGAAAGAGTGCAGAAAATAGTCACAGAAAACTAAACTATTACTATTTTGCCACAATAAATTGTCCTTCAGGAAAAAATGAAATAATAAAAATGCATGAACGCTTTAAAGTACATTCACATCTCAAAGAGTGATTTCCTGAATCCATGCGGCTGTGACCTCTGGCCGTGTCGCTCAGTGACTTGTATTCAACACGACGCAGTGTGTTCCTGCTGCGGGGAAACTGCCAAGATCTCTGCGTCCAGGGCTGAGAGGGCAGACTGTTATTAAGCACTTTTAGACAATGTTTCCTGCTGCTGGGAGTCAAAGGAGGCTATTGATTTATGAAGAGCGTGTGAATAATAGCAATTGTGCAACGTGAACTTTTCTCAGCAAGACCACTATGAATTGTTTTTCCTACTGCAAATCAAATCTCAAAATTATTACATTTAAAGTCACTCATATCAAAGTGATTTATGGTACAGGCCTATAAGCTGATAGGCTGACATTATTTAAAGGAACAGTTCAACCTCAAAATATGAAACAATATTCTTCCATAGACACAAAAGAAAAACTTGTTAGAACGTTTATGCCAAAACAAATACACCAGCACTAGCCATGTAGTCCAATTCACAGTAAATGATTCAGTGGAGCAGGATATTTAAATGAATAATTTTCACTGGCTTGAATCAGTCTGACGAATCCTTCAATGATCTCAGAGCCGTTACTGAACCGCTTTTTTTGTCTACTGAAAGTTCGTAAAATATAAAACACTGTAATTATTGAATCAACATCTGACTCACTTACTGAAATGCTACTTATTACTTTAAATGTTGTCTGTCTAAAAAATAAAAAAAAAAAATTTTTTTTGTCTAATGAAGGTTCGTAAACGCTCTGGTTACTAACGTAACCGTGGTTCCCTGAGATAAGGGAACGAGCGTTGCGTTTGACACGCTTATAGGGAAACTCCTCTTTACTCTGATACTGAAGCCTTATTATGTAACTGCATGAACAAATGGCGCTTTATCTCGCCAAAAGGGGAGGAGCCGACTGCTATATAGGTCAGCTCAGAGCGCTATTCTACAGAATCTTTCGACTGTCAGCGACAATGATATACATTTTGGCTTATATCACCCACATGCATGTTTACATAGTATAAAACTTTAAAAAAAACAGCATAATGTTAAAAAATGTTTATGCAGTGGTTTATGCACCATTAAGATAAGAGGAGTTAAAGGATGGGAGAAGCCCTAAGGAAATATAATATGTCAGCATAATTACGATCACTTGAGTTTGCAAGGAGTTGAGGTGACAAGAGTCCTTATTGACTTGCAGCCACTTACAGGAAGGAAGCAGAACCTCTGGAGTAGATGATAAGAGAATTATAGCAAAGAACCATAGAGGCTAATCACCTCTTCAATCCATTCAGTGATGTTCTGATCAACAAGCACACTTAAATCACACTCACATCTGATATCTAAAGAGGCTTCCAACTCGATTTGTGTCACTGCAGAACGACAGCAGTCATTTATCAAAGCCTGCTTCAGAGCGACTTGTCAGACAAAGAGAGAGGACTATCCAAAAAACACAAGACTTCACTGCGAGCCAAATGAAAGTAATCCCAACTCACACAGAGAGTCTTTCCGTCTTAAATCAGCTGCTGCACTATTCACAGTGGCAAAAAAGAGCATGTTTGAGGAAAGCACACTAAACAACCATGAATTAAGAGAGGCTTTAAAAGGATTATCCTGTAAGAAATCAGACAAATCCCAAGCTACAACGCTTAAGCAGGTTTTTGGGGGTAAATATGTTTGTGTATGTGAGTGTCTTTCCATCGTAAAAACACAAATATTGAATGGTTCTCACTCTACTTTCTGTGATGTCGCAGTACTTATAAAATAAAGAGTAATTAAGTAAAATGGCACATTTTTGTTAAAGAAACAGTTCACCAAAAAAATTAAAATGTGCTGAAGATGTACTCACACCATTCACCATTTTGGATAAATGTAGCATTGCAGCAGTGTCTCAGCAATGGATGCTCTGCAGTGAATGGGTGCCGTCAGAATGAGAGTCTAAACAGCTAATAAAAACATCACAATAATCCACAAGTAATCCACAGCACTCCAGTCCATCAGTGAACATCTGGAGACGAGAAACGCTGAAACAAATCCATCATTAAGACATTTTTTACTTAAAACTGTTGCTTTTAGCCAAAATTATATCAATAATTAATAATCCAACAACGCTTCAACCAGTGATAATGTCCATCTCCTGTTGTCTCTCACATCAAAATCCAGCCACATATTTGTTTAGAGATGTTTTGGCTTGTAAACGGTGCTTGATCTGTGCAGATTTCTCTCCTGATTCATACCAGATGACCTTTTCACTGGAGGAAGCGTTATTATGGACTCGTATTTTAGCCAGAAGCAATGGTTTGAAGTTAAAAACGCCTTAATGATGGATTTGTTTCTTACAAACATGCAGCTTTTGTCTTCTCCAGATGTGAACTGATGGACTGGAGTGGTGTGGATTACTTGTGGATTATTGTGATGTTTTTATCAGCTGTTTGGACTCTCATTCTGACGGCACCCATTCACTGCAGAGCATCCATTGCTGAGACACTGATGCAATGCTACATTTCTCCAAATCTGATGAAGAAACAAACTCATCTACATCTTGGATGGCCTGAGGGTGAGCACATTCAGCAAATTTTTATTTTTGAGTGAACCGTTTTGAATAATATTCTGGTGATTCATATTAAAATGAAAATGTTATTATAATGGTGGAATGCTCTTTCTTTCTCTTTCTTTTCTTGTTGGAAAACCCAAGAGAACATAATCAACCAGACTTTTGCTTTAACCTGCCCATTGCCCTTCACTTCTGTGCTCCATAATAGCTGGGTGGTTTCAATCAAGTGCATGGCGTTATTATAACCGCTGGACCTCTGTGCTGCGGTGTGGTCATGGGTAATGGCTGCACTGTCAAGCTAATGGTACCAAATTAGCATTTTAATTCCTGCACACTTGAAAGGCGGTGCACAAGGAAGGCTGCTGTAGAGATGCTATTGTTAGTAGCACAAAAATGGAGCGTGCTGAGATAATGAATAAAATTACTGCGGCTAAAAATACAACACGCTGAAAGCTCCTACAACGGTTCAGGTGGTTCAGAGATGCAGTGCTGTTGTGCTGTTCTGTACCTCACATGCTGGTAAGCACTGAGTGGAACAGGCATATATTTAGACAATGTGCTGCCCGGTTTGGTTTGAAGAGAGACGATGCAGGCATGTGCTAATATGATTAGCCACGAGAGGATCTGTTGTGTATAGAGGAAGACAGGAAACTTGCATTTGGGTTCAGAATAACATGCCGGAGTTCGATCCTTACTATTTCTGCAGTACATAGTGTATTATTTACTCTATTTTATCAAATTGACAAACAATACAAAATATCATTTCTTATTTCCAAGACTGTTTCCTTTTCAATTCATGACTTTGAATTAGAAATAAATATAAATAAATATATAGTTAAAGGGGTCATCTGATGCTCTTTTAAAGATCATTATTTTGTGTATTTGGTGTAACAGAATATGTTGACATGCTTTAATGTTCAAAAAACACATTATTTTTCAAATACTGTACATTATTGTAGGTCCTCTATGCCCCGCCTCTCTCAAACGCTTCGTTTTCTACAAAGTCCCTCCTTCCGACAAGCGCAGTCTGCTCTGATTGGCCAGCTGACCCAGTGCATTGTGATTGGCCGAACACCACAAGCACGCGTCGGAAATGTAACGCCCCTTACCATAATCACCAGCTTCATCTTTCAAAATAAATGAAAAGACAGAGCCTGAAAGGGGAACAGAGTCTCGTGACAGACACCGTGATGAAGCTGGTATGTGTTTGCAGTACACAAGCCACAGTTAAGACAGCTGACTCCACTGTGATGAGACTGTAACACTCCAAAGAGAAAGTAAAACTTGAAATCGCATCATATGAACCCTTTAATATTGACTAATTATGAAAGTTTATTCTGATATATGGAATATAATAAATTAGGGCTGGGTGATATAGCTAAAAAAATTATCAACGATATAATGTTTCATATCGTTCGGTATCGATAATTATTGACATTTTTTATAACCTTTTTTAAAACAGAGCAATATAATTTTTTTTTTTACATTTAACCACTGTATTTTTAAATTAACTCAATTTATTGAGACAAACAACAAATATCTTTTTGTTTTAACAGTCAAAAACAAAATTAAAATTAAACAAATATCTAATTTCTAATAAATTAGAAAGATTCAATTTAGA